GTAAGATTTAGATTTTTTGTTTTTTTCCGATTTTGGATTTGGATTATTCGCAACACAATTCTGTTATTGGTTTGATCGATTGCTATCGTTCCCAATTTTGCTACTCACTGGAAATTTTTGACTTTTGATTTTTTTATTTATGATTTAGACTTCATAGTGAATGCTGGAACTGAACTTGATGATGAGCGTGTTGATAGACGGTATCACGGTAGGAATCTTGAGGAAAATGATGAGGATGTGGACGTTCTCGAGAGAAGAATTCAGGAGCGTTACTCTAGGGATCATGAAGATTATGACGAAGAAGCTACAGACGTGGAGCAACAAGCCCTTTTGCCATCAGTTCGTGATCCTAACTTGTGGATGGTGAAATGTGCGGTAGGGGTTTTTGGCTTTGGAAGTTACATGTTCTTCTCTTCTGTGGAATGGAATTTGATTCTCCTTAATTTTTCACATTGCAATGTCAGATTGGCCATGAAAGGGAGGTTGCCGTTTGTCTTATGCAAAAATTCATAGACCGAGGATCAGATTTGCAGATCAGATCGGTTGTTGCCCTTGACCATCTTCAGAACTATATATATGTTGAAGCATACAAGGAAGCTCACGTGAAAGAGGTATTTGATGGGTGCACCAGTGTATGATTGTGTTCATTAGTGTTGTGACTGGGTGTCTTTACCTTGTGTCTTAGGCAATCAAGGGCATGCGGAATATATATGCTAATGAGAAGATCACACTTGTCCCTATAAAAGAAGTGGCTGATGTCCTTTCTGTTGAAAGCAAATCGATTGATCTATCTCGGGATTCCTGGGTTAGAGTGAAATCCGGGATGTACAAAGGTGATCTTGCTAAGGTATGATCCTCTTTCATGTGTTTTCAATGGTAAAAACTATCCATAGCCTGCTGAAATGCAAGTCTTTTGCAGGTGGTTGATGTTGATGATGTGCATCAAAGGGTCACAGTCAAGTTAATCCCAAGAATTGATCTGCATGCTCTAGCTTCTAAGCTGGTATGGATTCAAGTCTTATGCTTAAGAAAAAGATGGTGCTATTTGTGTTTAGTATAGTGTAATTAACAAACTTAGCCTGTTACAGAAAATTAGTACGACTGCCCTTGCATTTTAAGGTTTCTAAGTGTGCTCGAGTCATGTAAACCATACAATTATTTTGGCACACTTATGCTTGACAAATTGCAGGATGGAAGAGAAGTTGCGAAGAAAAAAGCCTTTGTTCCACCTCCACGTTTCATGAACATTGATGAAGCTAGGTACTCGTTTGAAGCATTTGTACTTTAAATTTATATAGCCTGTTACGGAGAAGGTTTTTAGTTATGGACTTTTAAAATTTGTTACATGCTTGTAGGGACTTGCACATACGTGTTGAGCGTCGGCGTGATCCCATGACGGGCAATTACTTTGAAAATATTGATGGCAATCTTTTCAAAGATGGTTTCCTGTTCAAACCAGTATCATTGAAGTCCATCATTACTCAGAATGTCGCACCAACTTTTGACGAACTTGAAAAGTTCAATAAACCAAGTGAAAATGGAGAGAGCGACTTTGGTGGCCTGTCAACTTTATTTGCAAACAGAAAGAAAGGTCATTTCATGAAGGGTGATGCAGTTATTGTTATCAAGGGGGATCTGAAAAACTTGAAGGGTTGGGTCGAGAAAGTAGATGAAGAAAATGTCCTTATCAAATCAGAAATGAAAGGTCTCCCTGTAAGCATCCTTACTCTTTGGCTTTTTGTAACTGCTTGCATGTTTCTAAAATTATCTAGGCAGATTAAAAGGCTAAGCATGACACTTGTGTTGCAGGATCCTCTTGCTGTAAATGAGAGAGAACTCTGCAAGTACTTTGAACCTGGAAATCATGTGAAGGTTGTTTCTGGGACTCATGCAGGAGCAACAGGCATGGTTGTCAAAGTCGATCAGCATGTGCTTATCATTCTATCTGACACAACCAAAGAACATGTAAGCCAACTGTTGTATATGGATCGAGTTTATTTCTTACCAGTAGGGCAACTAAATCCCAAGAGAATATACTTGTAGGTCCATGTCTTTGCTGATCATGTTGTTAAGAGCTCAGAAGCGACAACTGGCGTTACTAAAATTGGGGACTTTGAACTTCATGACCTTGTGCTTCTGGAGTAAGTGGAATGCCTAATCACCTTGAAGTGATGCATATTTCTCATTTACACTTGTATGAAAGCTTTATTTATTTGATGCAGGAACCTGAGCTTTGGAGTAATTATACGGCTAGAGAATGAAGCTTTTCAGGTAAATTGTCAACTTTCTGAGGGTACCACTATTTTCAAGTCTACGAGTAACTGCTAGAAATTTGAATTCTTCTTTTGTTGTAAACATGCAATAGATCTAGGAATAACTTTGTTGTAATGTCCGTAGGTTCTTAAAGGGGTTCCTCACCAACCAGAGATTGTTCTTGTCAAACTCAGAGAAATCAAATGCAAAATTGAGAAGAAAAACAGTGTGCAAGATCGCTTCAAAAATGTGATTTCTGTGAAAGATGATGTCAAAGTCATCGAGGGTCCTAGCAAAGTACCTTTGCGGACTGGTTGATGTTAGTTACCATGCTCAACTTTACTGATTTCATTTCAATTAATTTGTATCTGATAGGGTAAACAAGGTCCTGTGAGGCATATTTACAGGGGAATCTTATTTATATATGACCTCGAGGATGCTGGATTTATCTGCGCTAAATGCACATCATGCACTGTTGTTGGTGGATCATACTCTGGTACTAATGGAAATGTAAGCATCTTTTCGTGATGTGGCCTTTTTTTTTTGTTATGTGTTACTGTGGCTTCACCTTATCTTGCAAATTTTCTACTCTAGGGTGATGATTCCGTTTCAAGGTTTGGCAATTTTAAGGCACCCCCAGTACCCTCATATTCAAGAAGATTGCAACGCGGAGGCATGGGATATAACTGTATGTTCAGATTTCTTCTTTCTGTTTTCGTTATGAGTAAGAGTACGTAATGTTTTGTTTTGTTGATATTTTATCCGGGATGTTTTAGTCAATGATTTCCACTATGTATATGACATGTACAGTTTGCTGGTAGTTCGTGATTCATTGCTTCAAACCAACATTGCTTTGCCATCTTTTCTGAATTGGTGGAACATCGTAGCTGCACATACTCTTATTTGTATCTTTAAATGCAGCTGGAGGGAGGCATAGGGGTGGAAGAGGAGGGAGAGATGATTCTTTGTTAGGTACTACTGTTAAAATCCGTCTAGGACCTTTCAAGGGATCTAAGGGACCTGTAGTAGCAGTGAATGGAGATTTTGTGCGTGTAGAACTTGAGATGAAGATTGTGACAGGCAAGTTCTCGTATTCACTTCTCCACATGTGAGTTGTTGCACGTTAGATGGATTCTAACAATAGTTGTATATATGCAGTTAAGCGGAACGAAATATCAGATAATCTGTGTGCGACAACACTGTCTCGGTAATATTCTAATTTATCTCATTGGTTAATTTTGATTTTAATCATCATATACAGTACATTGATTATATCGTTGCGTTCTATACAGAGATATATCTCGGTATAGTATGGGAAGCGAAACACCTATGCATCCTTCCCGGACTCCACTTCATCCTTACATGACTCCAATGCGCGACTCTGGAGGTTTGTTTGCTAGCTCTTTCACGGCTTAAGATCCAATTTGTATTCATTTTTTTATTCTGCTGTGACACCTCCTCTGTAATATATTCATTTGACATATTAAGCTCTTTGGTGATGTTACGTAAATTTCAGCTACACCGATTCATGATGGAATGAGGACACCAATGCGTGATCGAGCTTGGAATCCTTGCACGCCTACGAGTCCACAGAGGTAAGTTTGTTGTCCCATTTCAATGTGATGCTGTCGGTTATACAAATATGACTACTGTTTCAATATTCTCAACACATTTCAAGAATGGTAAATCTGAATAAACTTGGACATCTCTGAAATTATGGTTGTAATGGCATCAGGGATCACTGGGAAGAGGGAAATCCAGCATCTTCACGGGCATATGAAGCACCACCAACTCCTGGCTCAGGAGGGGCGAGTGAAGTTAAAATCAGAAGCCCGGAATGCAGCCACCAAATGAGAACCCGAGACCGAGGATTCCCAGTCTTGATCTCTCTGACCCCTACCCCATAAATCATCCTTTAGGCACTTTTAACTCATCTGAATCAACATACAATTTATGTTGTAGTGACATTACTCATTAGCAGAGACTTGGTTTCCTCAATACAAATGAAAGCTTTTGATTATTTTTGACCATCCCAAAACTAAATTGGGCAAGTAAAACATATGAAAAACAAAAGATATAGAAACACATTTATCACAATTTCGAATCCAACCAAAGGGAATCCAGCCCCCCGTATATCAATATTTTCAATATTAGCCTCTTTGATTTAACCATTCAATTACTTCTTCGAGATTATATTGTGTTCCTTTTGTAGTTCTCTCAGTGAGGAGATGTTTATATCTTTTCTTGCCATATGGATATATGAAGATAACCTTAAGATCGGTAACTTCAATAATCCCAAGACATTGCCAATGTTTTCTTCATAATGGGAATCCAGCGCCAGAGAGAGCACGAAGACATCAAATCAAGTTATAAGAAGCAGCTCAGAATGCTGCCACCAAATCATAACCTGAGACTGAGAGACCGAAGATTCTCTGTCTGGATCTCTTTGACCTAATGCACTTTGAACTAAAACTGAAACATGTACAATTTATGTTGTAATGTCATTACCAGAGACTTGTTTTCCTCAATGGAACAATACAAACGAAAGCTTTTAATGATTTTGGCGAACCCAAAACTAAAACATATTGGGCAAGCAAATCCATGAAAACAGAGGATATAGAAACACATTTAACACAATTTCGAATCAAACCAAAGGGAATCCAGACCGAACCAAAAACAACGGCAAGTCCCCATGTTGATCCTCTATGTATCTATATCATCCAACTCTTATGAAGCTGTTCTCATCCGATTCCCGAAATAG